CCTCCCATTGCACTGGTCAGATTGCACTCAACTGACCAAATCTAACTGTCAGGGAATGTCAGAAATGTAATCTGGCTGTGAACCCAGGAAGGAGAGGAGATGGGTTTGAGATAAAGACAAAAAACAAGATCTACTACGATGTTTTATGTTTTAATGTCAGTCAAGTTCCAAACAAGAAGTTGTAACAAGGAGAAATGTTTTACTCCCTGTGTTACAACTTTCTTTTGGGTTAAATTATGTATGTATGGTTTGTATTTTTTAAGTTTACTTTAAATAATGACAAACATATCCAATTATAAATATACTGTTTCCATTCATGTCTTAATTAGAACATAACTCAGTGATAAACTGAAGCTATGCCTATGGAAAGTACTTCATTAGTGGTGAAAGAATAAAAGAATTAATCAATGAACAACCTGTATAAAAGGTTGTATACAAAGGCAATAGGAATTCAACAAAGGATAGGATCAGTAGGTGCTGTGGTTACCATGAGAGTCTTCTTGAAGGATTCAGGATGTGGATTGGCTCTTAAAGTAAGCCTTAATCTGGAACAATTAACTTCTGTTTGATTACTAGGCCAGACTACTGGACAGCAAGAATATTCAAATCTGAGAAGATAATCAAGAATATATAGGAAACCTTCTGTATTTCTAGAACCATTTTGTGTTTACTAAGTTTAATTTGATCATTACTTGGACCCCTCTATCAATGATTTTAGAACATTATATCCTGCTGTGTTGCTTTATTTTTTTACAATATGACCAAGATTTTTCATTTTTGTTGTTTTCTGGGCACCTGTTATTTGTTATTTCTCAACATCCCCTGGGCCTCAACTACCTCTTATGAGAGACTTCCTGCCTTTATGGGAGTCATCTTTCTACGGCCCATTACCAAGAAAGGGGCTTTGGGATTTCTACCTTCACTGCTTTCTTGTGCCTTCAACCCTCCTGCTTGTAATCAAGTGAGTAATGCAATTTTACTGATGGAGGTATATTTTCCTTCACTTCAGAAACCTTTGTTTTGTGTACCATAGTTAAAAAAAATATGTACAGAGTTATGACTATTGTATTTTATCAGCCAGAAGTAAGAACATTATATGGGGAGGAACGGGTGGCTTATAAAAGATATTATACTGCTTTTTGCTTTTGCTCTATATCCTGCAGGTAAACTGACTGATATTTTAATTTCCTCAGACTCTTTTGAAAGCTCTCTAAATGAATGTTCTGAAGAAAATATATAACTTTGGTTATCATATTTTATGGTTATTACTGTGTACACATTAAATGTGAATTAATGCAATAAAACAGTGCATTTCACATAAAAATACTATGAATTTCACTGCTGCCACTGACATAGCACATGTATCAATGTAGTTATGGGTTACAAATCTTTGCCAAGAGACAAAGTAACATTTATTTGATATTTTCTTGTTGTAAAAATTCAAAACAAGTAATGCACTTTGATTTCACACTTGTACATGATCTGTTCCCCTTACCTAAGGTTCCTTTTAGAAAATTAGTATTTCCTTTACAGTAAGCTTTAATTTCCTAACAGAGATCTTTGGCAAATACCGTCATCAGTAAAAATCCAGTTGCCACTAAATATGGATGAATAATTCTCACCACTGAATTTAACGAGATTCTGCTGTCTTTGCCAAATATCATCAATTTTAACCAAGAATTTTACAATCTTATAGTAGGTAGCTAAAATAATATTTACATTACAGCAAATGTTTAGAAGTTAGCTATTTTCCACAAAAAGCACTAACAATTAATAAATGCAAAAATGAACACAGGAAATACTATTTGGGACATTTGTGTTTATGTATGTATAATGCATATACTTTTGTGTGTGTATATATAAAATAAATTACTTATACTATATATTAATTCTACTTTAAATGAACTAGTAAAACTTCATTAAAAATCAATAGCATTTATCAGCAAATGATTCTCACACATTTTGAAGGAAGAAAAAAACTCAGAAAATATTTATATCTATAAACTATAAAATCACATTTCAAGATGGTTTTCCAGAGTCAACTATGCAAGAATTTCTCCATATCTGCTACAGCACCTGAGACAAAAAAGTAGTTCTGTTAATACTAGCAGTAATGACTTCTTAGAATCTTTTATTTTTACTCCCCACTATAGCTATTAATACTGAAAGTTAGCCATTGTGGGGATGAATATGAGTGTGCATATATGTGTGGATGTCCCACAAGGAAAGGGCTATACCATTTTTGCACCAGCAGTTTGCCCTGATTAAATGTTTTTCCCCATAAGTCAGTCTCACATCTTTTATCACTGTTAACAGAGTGCTCCTTTATGTTCAGGGATCAGCAAAGAAGACTTGATTTCAGGTTGATCTCACAACCCTCCCACTGCAACCTAATTTTGTCTGCAGAAATAAACTTTATTGTATGTAAAATAGAACTTAACAAATGTTAGCAATTGGTCAGGGACAATATATTGAAATTGTCTTATATTTTTCCTAATTTCTATAGCACTTGCCCATTTCCTTTGATTTCTTTCTGGCATTCACAGATCCACATTTAAAGATCATCCAAAATTTGTATCATTTAACATTTCACAAAAATTTAAACTGTTACAGATGATTTTATAAAGGCAATGCCATATCACCCAGAGGTACATGGGAGTACATAATCACATATAACTATATTTTTTCATTTTTTAAAATTTATCCTTTGTCACTCCAATTCAGAAGTATATTTCATTGTTGTTGTTTTTTGACATTGGTCACAAACTAAAATTTACCTTACCAGTAGTTAAGAACTCCACTCAAGGTTATTATATCTCAACAGAAGTTACCTCTATAAAGATAAAACTCTGATAGGAATGTTCACATATACTAGGAGACAGAAAATAAATACCATGAACCTTATCTTTTCCATTTGTACAAGCAGCAGAAAATATTTGACGACAAACATTCTTATTTCCATTTGTCACACAATGCTTTTAACAACATATTATCATCAGCTCATATACCAAGAGGTTGCCATTGATATTACGTGTCAGGAGGATGCTTTTCTGATGACCTTTAAATACCACAATCTCAAGTGATGATGCAGAATGACTTTCTTTTATCCCAGGACCTTCTTTAAAAAATTCAAATGCTTAGGGGTATGTCATTCGGCCAATGATGCAGTGTTATATCTTTTGCAAGATGTTAGAGGAAGGAAAGGCTGTTAAACCTTGAATGTCAATCGTTACCTTTTACTGAGCTATTTTTACCTAGTGTATTTGTAACATTTTTCTTCTAGAGAGCACAAAGGACTTTGTACAAAAGAGTACAAAGGATGCCCAATGCTCCAAACTGTTGAGAGGAAGAGGGATAGGTGGAGGAGGAGGGAACAGCTGTGCATCAATATAAGTTTTTGAAAGCAAATCACCCTCTATGATGATGACAATTATGACAAATTTTAGACTAGACTGTCTCATCCTTCAGGTGTCACATTTCATGGATTAAGCTGTGACACTCATCAGATCCTCCTATGTAGATCATGTCCTTATATTCCCAACAGGTGACCTTGGTATTAAGTCACCTGTCAGTATATGCATACCACATGAGAAAAGAAATTTCTCCACCTCATTGTGTAAGCCAGATCCCATAGGATAATGAAAGAGGCCCACTTTTTCCTTCTAAAAATCACTATTTCTGGACTTGTAGCTATAATGATATGGATAAAATTATTTCTCAGGAAAATACCGTGTATATTTGGAAAAGAGCCTTTATCAAATCTCTTAAGGCTAACATAAAATGCAAAAGATATACTGGAAGCAATGTACAGTCAACAAAATGTCTTCTAAGACACAGCGACTGTCTTGTAGGGCATTTTGACTTCTGAACATTGCAGTTAGTGCAGCTGACACATAAGAGAGCACAGCAGAATTGTTCTCCCTAATAGGGAAGAGCTTAAGAATTGTTTAAATAAACCACAGGGAATGTGAGGAACTATGAACGACTAATGTCTAATGGGATTTGTGAAGACTATGACCAATATAACGTAAATAAAATTGTAATGTGCAATGAAAACTCTCTGCTGTGAAATCAATATGAAATTTTACATAACTTGGGCCTCCCCGGTGGCGCAGCGGTTGAGCGCTGGGTTGCGAAGCTCCCCGCGACTTCCACGGCGGTGGTTCAATCGCCGGCTGCTCCCCGGCCACCAGAGGAGGGTCCCACATGGCGCGCAGACCTCTCCTGCCGCCCACTGCTCCCTTCAGCAGTGTGTTTCGGTCCTTCTGCCTGCTCTGCTCCCCGCTCTGGCTCTGGTGAATTCTCTCACCCTCCCGCACTTCTGACTGTACCCAGTGCATGTATAAACAAACAAATAAATAAATAAAAATTTTACATAACTTAATAATTTTGATGTGATTGGATCATCCAAGGAGAATATAAATAGTAGTGAGCATAAGGCAAAACCAAGGGCATTTTTTTAACATTTAACATTTTTTTTTAGAGAAAGAAAGGATTCACTTTTTCAAAAATTTTTCTCTGCTTTCCTGGGCTAAATAAAAGAGTTCCTCATTTTCACATTTTCCACTTTTCATGATAGTGCAATGTAAAATTTCTTACAACATTTTACATCTGAAGGACAGAAAAAGAACACTTGCCTTGAAAGAACCTTATAGTTGTTTTTTTTTTAAGTACATCAGTAGCCTGCCTTCTAGCTCTATAGAACTTAATTCTAAAAAGTTGAAAATTCTCTTTCCAGTTGCCCTTCCTATGCTAGTCTGAACCTAATTTTAGAAATTATTTTCAAAGAAACAGAAGTTTCCAGCTTCTATTGAGATGTTTAAATCTCAAAAGCTGTGCTAACAAGCTTCCAATGACAAAGAAAAATTAAAAGCCTTAACAAACTGCAAGTTCATGACTTTTCTTGAATACATTAGGAAGCCAATGTTGCTGGAAACCAATCAGTCATAACATAATGAATGACAGATGCATGAGGAGAGAGATGGGACTTGAGGGCTTACTTAGGACAGATGCAGCTGGACACTCATTTGAAGAATTCAGCTAGAATAGTCCATGGACTGGTGGAGGTGAAGTACTGGTGAGAGATTTTGGAGTCACTGACGATGAAGATGTAGAGGAGTTCCTACCCTTGTCAACTGTTCCTTCATGACTCCATCATGCTTCACAATAGTGACTGATGTGGGGCCTACAAAATTGTGCATCATGATGCAGGCCTAGGGGAGAAAAACAGCAGCCACTATGAGAAGAGGCATATGTTCAACCAAACAACTGTTGGTTGAATGTTGTCTACAGAAATAAAGCTATATTCTATGAAATGAAGGATAACCAGCACTCTTACTCTGAAGGTGATGGTGAAAACTTACTATAATTAAGGAAGAGAAAAGAAAAGATAACTATCTTTGGGAAAGACCAGGAATGTTTGTTGGACCTAGAACTATAGTTGAGGGTTTAGGAGAATTTACATCCCACACCAAGAGACACAATGTCTCTTGACAATTGAGATTGAACAAGAACATAAAGCTAGCAAACATAAATGGAAAAAGCAACAATAGGATATTTGAAAATATTCTAAAATAGAATATGGAAAAGACCCTATCTGAGACACAATGCAAAGGGAAAACCTAAAGCAGAGGGTGAAGCAGATATGAAATAAAGGTCATTTGCATACTAGTTCCCACCTAAAACAAGGGTATCCTCAAAAGAATTTATATCACTCTCTATTGTCCTGCATAAGATGTCACATATTAAAAAATCATGAGACATACAAAAAACAAGACAAAACAACACACTGCCAAGAGACAAAGAAATTGGTAGAACCAGATAGTGATGTCGGAAATTGAGAGATAATTTAAATATTATGATTGATATGTGAATAATATAATTAATTTTAATTATGATTAATATGTTAAAGGTGCTAATGGTCTAGGAGGAAAACATGCACCATTAGATGAGAAATTTCACCAGAAATTCAAAATGTATTAGAAATAAATGGAAATACTAGAAATGAAAATTGTGGTAATGAATATTAATAGACTTTTACATCATCTTAACATAGACCAAGAAAGAATCATTAAAATGGAAAATAAGACTTTAGAAAATATCTGGACTGAAAGTTAAAATGAAAATGATCAGAGCATTCAAGAGCTGTGGAAATACATCAAACAGTTCAAAGGTGAAATAGTAAGACAGGAAAAAGAAATTTATGAAAACATAATGATTTAGAATTTACAGAAATAATTACTGATACTAAATCACAGATCAAAGAGGACTGAGAATGCCAAGTAAAGTAAATATCAAAATATACTACGTAGGAATATCAGTCAAATTTCTGAAAGCAAAAGACAAAGAGAAGATCTTAAGTGGCCAAAGATAAAAACATTACATATTAATATATAGAAACACAGCTTAAAATTAGAGGGGTCTTTTTCCAGAAGCCTTTCCAGCTATAACATAATGAAGGGTCACCTTTATTTTTTAATTATATTATTTTTATCAAGATAATATTGGTTTAAAATACTGTGTATGATTAAGGGTATAGGTTCACACCCCTTCAGTTGTATGTTACCATACAAATCCACCATAAAAGCACAATCCTCCACCTTAGTCCATTAAGTCTGCCCCATTTTACTGCCCTCTGGTAGCCTCAATTCTATAGTCAGATTTCAAGGGTTTGTTTTGGCTTCATTTTATCTATTCCTTTGTTTTCTTTCTTTATATTCTAATGTATGAGTGAAATCATCTGGTATTTGTCTCTCCTTCTGAGTTATTCTACTTGGCATAATCCTCTCCAGTTCCATGATGTTACAATTGATCAGATTTCCTCTTTTTTTATATAGATGAGTAGTATGCTACTGTATATACTGTATACTGTATATACTGTATATACTGTATATTCCGAAACTACTTTATGAATGTATCAGAGATGAGCATATAACTCAATATACTGTAGATTTCTTACTGGTGGAGATGGAAGTTAAAATTAAGAATGGGGAGACGCAAATGAACCCTATATATTTTGACTGGAATAGGTGATATCAATATGAATTCTTTATCATTATTATATATGCAGATAGGTACTGAAATTAATAGAGATGTATATTCATGGATTACAATATACATAATACTTAATTATATCTATGTACTATATTTTACACACACATACACACATATGCACACACTTGCAAACCCAAGAAAAAAATATTTTTGTGTGTGTATCTGAGTAATAATGAGCATACCCAGTTCCCAAATCTTGGTTTCTAAATAAAAAGATTGGATGTATGACTATGATTGAGTCCAGCTTTAGGACTAAGTAAACACCAGATGAACCTAGAGTATATAGTCAAAAATCAAGGAAGTGTCAACAATGGGATAGGGCGTGAAAAACAGATGGGAAAAACTCTGAAAGGCCAAAGCTTAAATATATATGTACACACATACATACACACACATACACATATGTACATACATGTTCTGTTTTTTACAGAAGAATTCCAATTAATGAGTTTAGAAGGAACAAGGAAAACAAAATATGGCTAATCAAAATAATAATTGCTGCAGACAAGATCCACTAATAAATGCTAAAATAAGTGAGTGAACATTTAAGCTGAAACAGAAATCCTGACATATCTTCCCCGGAATAGTTATTAATAACAAAGAGAAAAATAGGAACCCCAGTACATAATACTTTAATCCCAATGAAGCATCCTATCAACAGTAATAAAACATTGACATTATCTAATTTCTGCCTTTTTTTATTCTTCATTGTTTCTCGGGAACTTTTTTAGTCTTTCTCTGCTCATCTTAGTACCACTTTCTCATAATTGTTCTTTTGTCTTGAACACATATTTTTGCATCTTTCACCTCTGAATGGCTAGGTTTGCCCATACTTCCTGTTCTTGATAGTAAGTAAAAAGTGAAAGTTAAGAAATGTCTGTTTTTAAAGGTTTGAAGAGCTAGTCTGATTCAAGGTACAAATTAGGTTCATTTAACTCCTGAAAAGATCTGTTGCATGGACCCTCTGCCTCAAGATACCTCTCTGACTCTGTTCCCTACTTTCTCTATGTCCCTGGCAGTCTCTGACTTCCTTTCTCTTCCCATCTTTATCAGAAGCTGCAGTTTATCATGGGCTTAAGTGCAGAGCACTAGCGCCCTCTTCCTGGGGCAAGCAGCTTGGCCATGAACATGTCATTCTGGCCTTGTATTTCTTCATCTGCAAAATGAGATAATAATAGTATTTGCCTAATATGGAATAAATGAAATAAGACATTTAAAGCACTTATAAAAAAGAATGTCTTGAAAGTAACCAGTCCTTAGTATCTGTTATTTCTTATTTTATGCTTAGGTTCAGAGGATAAAATTTCTTCCATAATTTCAATAAAATTTCTTTCTCATTTACTCCCTCCCTTTGATATTCAACATCTACTTTTAATTCACCACTACCCTCTGACAATCACGCTTCCCTATTTATTTTGGGTGATACATGTATTTCCTTGAAAAATATGTACTTGTATGTGCAGGTATGTTTGTGAGTGTGTGTATATTAAGTGTATACCCTGACTGTTACAAGAGTGTAAAGTATGCATGCATCTTGCTGTCTGCCCATTTGTTCAATGGTTTGCAACTCTGAAGCCAATTTGGGAGCTTTTAAATAATCTCAATCCCCATCCTAGACCAATTAATTCAGGTACAGGGGCTGAGGAATTCATTTCAAAATTTCTGCAGGTGAGCAGCCTGGGCTAGTTCATTGCTTCTAGTTACTCCACAGCATGCCTCAACTGTTAACCTCCCATTCATTCATTCATTCATTCATTCCTTAGAGGTTGAAGGTTGCCTAAGTTTCTTCCTATTCCTTACTACAACATGCAGTCCTTTAATAAGCATCCTCATACTTGATCCTTTATCAATCTATATAAGATATTTCCTAGGTTACATATAGAGTAGGATTACTGGATTGTTGCATTATGTATCCGATTAAATAATACAGGGTCTCTCCAAGATTTGTGTACCACTTGATTCTTTCACAAAGAAGTTTTATTGAAATTATTGAAGGAATTTCATCCATGAACCTAAGCATAAAATAGGCAGTGAAAGTTACTAAGGACTGGTTGTTTTCAAGACATTCTTCTTTCTAAGTGCTTTAATTATTTTATTTAATTTCACATGATTCTGTGAGGCAGGTACTACTGTTATCACCAATTTTCTCAGATAGCGAGATCCAGGATGGCTTCACGGGGATTCTAGATGTAATATGTACTGGCATCCCAAGAGTGCTGTGGTTGAAACCATCTGCTCCAGGGACAGACAATACAGCAGGAAATTGTCTGTAGAGCGTCAAAATCAACATTAAAACTGATTTAAAAAACAGTCTGGTTTTCATTGTCACTATGAACCTACAATTTTAAATAACGCCATGATAAAATACTTCTCTGAGAAGAAAATCTTTTATTTTTCTACATTCTGAACAAGTATGGTAGTACCTGCTGAGTTTGAATGATATACATTAGAGGTGTAGTTGAGCATATTTTTATTTTCTTATCCATTACTAAACATTGTATTCCAGAAAAACCACTGTTATACTATCCACCTTCGAGATGGACAGACTCAGCTGCCCACACCAGTTTTGAGAGAACATTTGTACCATATTTCAGAATTTCCTGTGTCCACTTTGGAGCCTTTCCTGTCTCTAACCAGTGGGGTACCACCTATTCCTGAAGTTATACAACAGATTTAAAATAAACTAGCAGAATAGCTATAAAGCTCTTTTCTAATAAATATAAATGTATGAAATCAACTTTGCTGAAATTAACAAGCTGAAGAAGTTGAGACTCAAAAGCTTATTAATACAAAAATATTACATAGGTATAAGTTCTTTGTCCTTTTTTTTTTTACAAATGTATAATTAAGTGTATTAACCTATTACTTTTTCATGTTATAATTTCTATTTTATTTTTTGTTTTTTTAGCTTGTGATATTTATTTATCTGACATGACTTTATACATAAAGTGTAATGAAAGAAGAAATTCTTGTGTTTCTTTCTTGATCATTATCATTATTTTATTTACTTCCTGATTATCTTTTTCCTTAATGAATATAACGGAAGACAATTTTGTTCTATAAATGTGAGGATGCTACAAAAAAAGAGTTTCATTTTGGTGTGAAACACAAATATATGCTATTGATAATTTAAAGTGAGTGTCACAACACTGCATGGTGT